AAACGCCTTGATATCGAGACAAATCTATGAAACTGTGTCGTTTATTGAAGATTTCATGATTCTTCCACTGCTCGTGTTCCACCCTGTGCCAATTTGATGTCAATTCACATTGTCGTGAAACAGAGCTGGGGATTGGCAAGCCCCCACAAATATAGCACTATAGTAGAATTGCGCAATGCACATCTGTCAGACATTTTGCAAATCACAGTAGATTTCTCGGGACAGGGAAAGAACTCTCATCTCTCGCACCCAGACCAATAAATTCTGATGAAAGTTTTAGTTTATTTGAGCCAGCCACCCCCACCCCCCCCCCCCGCTGTCGTTCCGGCTCCCCCGATCCGCCCAAGCCTCCGCCTAGCGACAGGCCGTGACGTCAGTAATCAGATCGGACCACTGAACACTGATATAGCGCCCACCCCCACACCACGGGCGCCAATCGACTCTCTCCTTCTCACGGGACTCTGGTGTTATTAGCTCTCATTCATCAACGCATTTGCTGACGTGTCTGGCCTGGTGACTGCGGTTGTTAGGTGGGGACTTTTTCATTCAGTGAGTGCCACATTACATTCCGCCCATGACCTTTCTGGCTCTGCCTCTGGGAAAACCTAAATAATTCGTCTCTTTGCCATACGCTCCACTTCAGTCTGGCAATGTCGCGTCACTTCTAAGGTCACGGTCATCAATGTCGCAGACGTGACAGGAAGTCTTGGAAGTAAGAACGTATGGGCGCTGCTTCTCCCCGTCTTCTTCCATTGGAGAGAGTTCCATGCCATTTCATCTCGCAGACTCTGATCTTTTATTTTCAGAATTATTGGGCTCTGTGTTAAGGTTACCCACACTAACAGTGGCAGATTCGCCGTCCGCTCTTCTGGCACTCATTAAATAAGAGGGAATAATCAGCCAGTGACAAAGGGTCTTGGAATTTTACAGCTCGGTTATCACTTTCACTGATAAATGCATAGATGTCGCTTTTGAAGTCACGGTGGCACTGCCAAACACAAAAGACGTGAAGCAGCGTCTTTGAAAAAAGCAAACAAAGGCGTAGAAAGGAGATGACCAAAAAGTCATGACCTCTACACTGTTTTGGTACCAAAATATGTTCTCAAGGCTAGATTTTCAATAAAACAAAATGTAAGGCTAATGAGGAGAAGATCAGTTGAATATCACATATCCATCAAAATTTATACGCTTTATTCCACATACGAACAAGACTTGCGCAAGAGTTGCCATATCGCCGCCCTCAGTCTCAGGATTTGTTGTCCCTGCGCCGCTCGCTGACAGAGCTCGGTCGAGCTCGGTCCGGCCGGCCGGGTGGTGCTGTGCGGTACACGCTACCCAGCCAGGCGGCGACTCGGGTAGTGCTGTGCGGTACACGCTACCCAGCCAGGCGGCGACTCGTGTAGTGCTATGCGGTACACGCCACCCAGCCAGGCGGCGACTCGGGTAGTGCTATGCGGTGCACGCTACCCAGCCAGGCGGCGACTCGGGTAGTGCTGTGCGGTACACGCTACCCAGCCAGGCGGCGACTCGGGTAGTGCTGTGCGGTACACGCTACTAGAGGTGTCAATCGGAACCGAAAATTTTGGAATTCCGAAAATTTCCGAATTCCGATTCGGAAATCGGACGGACAAGTGACAAGCACATCGGACATCTTCGGAAAACTAGTTGAAATTTACAAATTTCTTAAATAAGTTAAAGGTCAAACTTATTTCCATTATCAATATGCAAATTGCAAAACATGTCATCAAAATTGGCAGGAGATAGGTGTTTCATACATCATCCAAAATCATAGTGCAAGATGTACATAAACGTGATTGCATGTAGCGGGTAGCTCTGAGTCAAATAAGGTACATACCTACCTATACTTTTCCAACTTTTAACTCTAAATTTGAAAATGTGTTTACAAATGGCAATAGCCAATAGGTGACATTGTCAGCAAACCCATCATTAGATAACACAGTTATGAATATGATGTACAATCATTGACCTGTGGCAAGCACTAGACATCAAAGCAGTTTAGAAGGGAATCCAAAAATAGACTTGCCTCACTTGAGAGTTAACAGAAAAAGACTGAAGAAAATTGCAAATATCAAGGTGTGCTAAGTAGCACAAGAGTCTTACCTAGAACCTCCTATCATAAAGTCATCCTCTTCTACCCCTTCCCCCCAAAAAATTATCGAATAAATATCGTAATATCGAATAAAATGCTGCATAATATGCAGATAGCCTATCAATAAACTTATTACAAAAAGATGATGAAATGCGGCGAAAGCGTCATAAATGTCACTTAAGGAAAGATGGCCTCCCGATGAGAATCGGAGAAGACAAAAAAATGACGTCTAAAACAATAAATACAGCCATTTTGCAATAGAATTGAATAATTTTCCAAAAATTATATTATTTTGCAATACATATCAAATTTAACTTGAACAACTAATAGTTAATGCACTTCAATAGGACAAATTAAATGATAATGACGTCATATTATTGATTCACTTTCACATCATCGACTCAAAGCCGGACACCAGTTCCATGCTACCGAGAATGGTAGCATGAAATGTGTTTTTATTCTACCAAGAAGGATTACAATTTCTTTTTGCTTGTGAATTTCAGTGAATTTGTGTTAAATCATAGCAAGTAATTTTATTTTTTGTGATCGCTTATTCTTTTGGATTTAGAGATGTGTGGCTCAGTGAAGAGCACGTTTCTTCCAGGTGTACTTATAGTATCTCACATGTTTCTTCTCACATGAATTATTTCAATTTTGCTTTTGCAAGAAGCTCAAACTTTACATCTCAGCCAGTGTGATATAAGATGAAGATATGCATCATTATTGTAAGTGACTAGCTTCTTGCATTATTGCTGTATTAATTTACCATCAGGTGGCTTAGTGTCAAGGGGGTGTGGCAAGAAGTCAATACCTATTTGAGAACGCAAGTTGGAGGGATAAGGCAATGTTTTGCATTATTCCTGCTTACTCAGCTTCAGTTGTAGGCCGTAGCACATTTTGAAGCAGAATAGGCTTGTCTCAATATGCTGTTTGTGTTGTATATTAGAATAGGCCTTTTGCCCAAATGCCCATTCCCTAATGCATTTGATATTGCTTCAGCATTTTTAGTTTGCAATATTTTGCACTCAAAACCAGATGGCGGATATCTGTTATTCTAGTGATCATGTGGTACATACAAACATATAGCTAATATAGATCAATTTCACCATCCTCTCTTTCCATATCCAGCTTTCGGACAGTTTTCGGACAAATCCATGCTTTGGACATTTTTCGGACAAAAGTGAGCTAGGATTTTGGACATTGGACGGACATCGGACAAGAAATTTCTGAAATTGACACCTCTACACGCTACCCAGCCAGGCGGCGACTCAGCCCGGCGCTGTTCGACCGCCGTTTTTATCAGCAGACTGCCAGTCTGCTGTTGTTTCTTGACCTTTTCGTCGATCAAATTCAGGTGGTCTGTGCGGTTCACCAATCAAAGGCCAAGAAACGTCAGCAATGAACTTCCTTTTATGGGAAAACCGGCAGCGTCCTGATTGAAAAACGACGACCGAACAGCGAGCGCCCCGGCCATCCGCGCTCGATACACGTGCCATGCACCGGCCGGCCGGCCGGCCCGGCCTCGGGCAGTTAGTGGCCCAAGGTCGGACCACCGTCGCCTTCCGGCTGTCGCCAGCACCGTTGTGTCTCCAGGGAGTCGCAGCTCGACCAGACAGCCTGATGGAAACGTCGGCCCAGAGCTCCGTCTGAGAAAAATCGCCGCACCGCGATCTCAGCAGGTAAGCCTGTCAGTGAGCCCGTTCGCAGCTGAGTGGGCAGGTCGCCAAGTCGTAATAGTGAGACACGATCAGACGAGTGAGATGCTCGGTTCTCCGTCTTGATTTAACTCAATAGGACATGACAGTGCTACTATTTGTTTGGGACTATTGCAGAACTGATTGAGTTTTCCTAGAAGGAACTTCGAATCGGCTTTAATGTAAACCGAAGCTACAGCAGTTCATTGCCTCCGGATACATATTCCTTTTTCCCGGAACTTGCTGCTTTTCAATAGGCGTGCAGCGACCCGAGAAGTTTCAGAGTCCGTGGCGTCAATGAACAATGCGCATCGGGCCATAGTGCTGTTCTATCGCTGTAATCAAACTACTTATGTCAAAATTAGCATCAGGGGGTAATAACCAGGGGGTAATGATCAGGGGGTAATGACAGTGAGTAATGACCAGCGGGCTAGCCTCTGCTTATTCAATGAAGTCTCTTGAAAGCTTTTAACCGCGGGCTGTTTGAAATAGACAAACACTATGCGTTAGTATGTAGAGTTTACGGTTCGCGAATGATTCTGTCTGTCTAGGGTGGGTAAGGTATGCTGCACCTAGGCACTTCGATTGCTATGCATTTTTTGCATTAGCGTCGCCGTTTTAGCACTTCTTACATACCGATAGATGTTTTAATGTGAAAGGCAATGAATACAGTGAAGAACATTCATTATTCAATGTTTATGCCCCCCGGCTTCCACTCATGGCTAGTTATTCCATCACTTGTGTCATTCAAAGCAACATTAAATGCAATATTTTCTTCCTGGAATGTATATTATTGCTTTTAAATCAGCGACAGGCTGCGAAACAGTTAATGTTTTTAACGGAGATAGAGCATGATGCGGATGTGTCAATCAAGCTGTGCGCCAACTCGTGAAGATGAACGATTTTCCTAAGGCATCGTGGCTTAGGTACTGGTACTGGTATAGTATATGAACCAACAGTTTATGTGAATGCACCATGAAGAAAATGTGACCTCTGATAACCTTTGTGGCCTTAACCTTACCTTGATTAAATGTGCGGATTATTTTTGAAGTTGTTTCGACGATCTTTTCAGCGCAACTATGCAAAAACTAATTAAGAGGGGATGGCGTTAAAGCCCTCTGTAAATACTAGCTCGTGTTCCGTGTTGACCGATGATCACCGCAACGGCCCATCTTTCCACAAAAAAGTCATACATATGTAACAATACCATATTATTTGGCGAGCATACATAAATACATAGACAATCGATGCTTCATCGACGGTTCGCGCCCATTCCATTTGGCACGGCGAGACGGGAATGGGGTCTCGGACGAGACATCGTCCGCTCTGTACCTATAGATAGATACAGGTAAACAGCGGGAAAGCTCTGGCCTTTCTGTCCGAACACGCATGGACACTGAACCAATGTCGCAAGTATAAGGAACATCTGAGATACGGGCATGTCTAATACAGTGGAACAGAAACGCTTCGGAAACATAGCAAAAGGTAAATAACCTACAAACAAAACACACGTGACAAAATTTAAGCCCCATTGAAACACCTAGACCTCCATACAGTAAATAACATATTTCACATTTTACTGTGCTTCAGTCGGGCAGTCACAGCACACACGAGCATCAGACCATCACTGATCAGGACAAGACGCGGACAAAGATTTAGATCACTGTCCGGCGTCCGCACATTACTAATCTCTTAAATTAGTATCAGAGCGCACATTAGCTTTGAGGTGGCCGCTGGGTGCAGTGTACCAGCAATTAGCGTGGGGTTTTATTGCCGGTGATTCCCACTAGATCAATGTGGCTTTAGCAAATGTGTAATCCGCTTGATCAGTCACCCAGAACATGCTTTCAAAAAGCGAGACGAAAACTGTCCCGATGCATGTAATGGAGCTTGCGAGTTAAACGTTAGACAGTCAAAACGTTGACTTTATGATGTGATGGCAATTTGCAGTTATCGTGAATTACCATTTTCAGTAGCAGACGAAAGTTAATTCAATATTGAACATTGATTCAGACGCTATGCAAACTTAGGACAAATATCTGGAAATGTCAACTTTTATAGGGCAGATAATCATGTCCTCAAACAATGACAGATCAAGCAGCCATGATAACTGCGAAGTACCAGGAGCTCCTTCAATTTGAAAACCTCGACCTTATTTAGAGCCAAAGGAGACAGTTCATGAAACCGACCCAACAATGTTAAGCTTCCTTTTCATAAACTGATGCAGGATCGCAGAATGCAGGCTCTGAACTAACGCCGCGTATAAATGCTCTCGTTGAAACAATTCTATATACGCATTATTTACACGCACTGTAATCACCACACCCGTACATCATGAAGATTCGACTAAATACAATCGAGTCGCCATCGTTTCATTGTCACAAAAATACTTATTTATATATTCTACTTCAATAGTTCAACATTCAGTATATCAGCCAAGAAATGACATGCCATATCACTTACGGCTAGAAATTTCGTCAATACTTGAGCTTAGCTTATATCGTCCTGAGTGACTCACAACAAGCGCACCAATACGGTGTACCGCACACGGTGCTTGGAAACGATCGGCCCACGTCGCCACAGGCCTGTCAGTCTGCCGTGTTTCCCAGCGTAATTGAAAACTTCACCGTAATGTTCGGGTAGGCCGTGTAGATCCACGTTCGGGGAAGGACCGCTGATATTCTATGTATTCGACGCGGACAGTGTTCTGGTGTGAGATCAGCCAGCTGTCGCAGTCGTCCAATTTCAAAGTTTTTATCGGTAGTGCACGAACAATACACGATACATCTCCACCTTTGGCTGAAGCGCTCAACCGGCTTAAACACTTCAGCCGAATAATGCAACGCTTTCGTTCATTATCACCGTCTTTGAACAAGCACGCACAGTTCCCTCAGTTCCCCTCCGTCCACAATATTTTCCAGCAGCGATATCGCCATCGAGCCGCCGCCAGCCTTGGTCTGACGATCACACAAACGTGGTGTTGGTGTTGAGTACTGTCATGGAGATGCTGTGAAACTTGGCCGGCTGACCGCTACGACTCAGCGGCCTGAGGTGGGCAGGTCGCCTCAGCAGAGCGCTGAACGCCTCTCGGAACTGCTTGCTCATCAGACAGTAGAGCAGGAAGTTGACTGCCGAGTTGGTTAGCGCCAGGATGTCGAGGAGTTCACCGACATGTTGGTAGCAGATGGAGAAGAAGCGCTCCTGCAGGACGCCCGAGAGCAGCGCGAGGATGCCCTGCGGGAACTCGGTGATGAGGAAGAGCAGCAGCACGGCGACCAGCATGAGAGTGGTGCGGTCGGCCCGGCGAGTGTCCTGGACGAGGTGGTGGTCGGCGCTGAGCTGACTGCAGCCCGACATCAGCCGCTGCTTCCTCCGCTTCGTCTCCAGCAGAACTCGGATCAGACGGACCGAGAAGTACGTCAGCGTCAGGCACGGCACCAGCTTGATGACCACGGCGAAGAGCCAGAAGTTGGCGCGGTTCAGCAGCCTGTTGTGCCGCCTCGCGATGTCGCTGATGTCGATGCTGTAGATGAATTCTCCCGGCTGGAGCGTCGGCTGGCTGCGCACGGCAAACGTGAAATAGGACGGCAGACAGATGACGGGTGAGGCCAGGTAGGCTAGCACGATGAAGGTCAGGCATCGCTTCATGGTGCAGTGCTTGGCGGCCACTGTCGGGTGGACGATCGACAGGAACCGCCACACGGCCAGCATCACTGTCATAAAGATGGATACCGTGTGGAAGATCTGGGCAAAGTGCGCGTGAAACAGCACGTAGAGCACCTGGGAGTGAGACTGCGGATCCGTGTCGCTGATATAGTGCTGCACGGCGAACGGAATGTACTCCAGCATGACGGCCAGGTCGGCGGCGGCCAGTCCTGTGAGGATCGTGTTGGTCGACGACAGCATGCCCTTCCGCGTCAGCACCACGATGTTGATGAGGTTGGTGACGGAGCCGAACAGGCAGACCATGAGTGCCAGGTAGCCATGCACGGGCCGGTAGGAGTCCCTCAACCAGCGTACGCCCTCGCCACAGATGTCACTCGTGGCCTCGGTACGGTCGCTGAACATGACTGGCGTCGAACCGGTGACCGCCGCGGTGGAGCCGTTCTGGAACGCCTCCCAATCGCTGAAGGTGAGGTTCAGCCCGCGCAGCATCGTCTCCAGGTAGAGCTGGCGGGCCTGCGACCGCGTGTCTGCGTTCATAGACATGGTGGCAGCGCCAAGCAGCGGAGTGTCGGCGGCCAGGACCAGATGAAGCAGTCGCGTGGGGTCGGTCGCCCCTCTTGAGTCCTTCCGCTGAACGGCGTTGAACTGTGAAATAAGAAACGGCAATGGTTAGCCAAGGAGTTACAAGGTTACATGACGCTTATACGATGTCTGCCTTTACAAAGTGTCAGGTCATTTATCAACTTAAACGGTGTTTAAGTAAATCGGCTCCAAGATCTTCAGTTCTGGACGATAATTTAGCCCCAATCATGAACCAGTTTGTTAAATGAGCTTAGCTGCTAATTGGTCTGCTCAGAGAATCAGCTCCGTCAGTAAGGCTTAATTAAATAGCATTTTCGACATTGAGTAGGCCGTAACTCTCATGGATGTCCATTGACTGTTCTCTTAGACCCTTTGACATGCCCTCTGGTACGATTTTCGAGCGGCGGTGCGTGCCCTTTCGGGTCTGCGCCGGTGATCGGTGTGCGCCAGCAGCAGCGCTGACCCGCCGGTACTTTATCTGCCGCCTTATAGCTCCGTATCGCTGCGTCCTCGGCCTCCAATGGCCCCATCCATCGCGCGGAATGAGCTCACTCGCAGACCGGCTTCTGCGCACGTCCCGGTACAGACGGCAGATGTTTCATTTAGCTCTGGACCTGGCTGTGATTCATTCAGAAGGGTGGGGTAAGCCGGCGACTCCCCAAGCAGCCAATATTTTATGGAGAACCATGAGGTGAGTGAAGCAAGCTGGTGAAGCTTTAACGAACTATGGATGCCACTCTGATGATGGGTACCTGTTCTCGACAAATTTTTGCGGCTACCAACATGTTACATTGAAGCCTACATGTAATAAATGATATAGAAAATGAGCGTCTTACAACTGCTTGATAGGGAAATCGAAATGTGAAAAAAGTAAGCATTGAGTTTAACGCTATACGCCCTGAGGCTCGTATCTGAGCAGGCTCGGATACAAGCCTTTTATGGATCAAATGCCTACAAATAACATATAAAATGATACGTTAAGTGAACCTAGGGTGAATGTCTGGCACGGGGCTGGAAGTTACGACAAACAAATCAAACGCAGATGCTTGGAAAGCTCAGTATGCAATCTCCTCATTAAAATACACGTGTTGCCTACAGGCAGCACGTGACATCTCTCTGAGAGCATAGCTATCACTTGACCCGAGTGCAATCTTAGGATAATACCAAGAACAGCCTCATACAGCTGACAGCACCCCATCAGTTCCTCTGCCTACTAAGGAGAGTGGGGTCACTACATTTACCATTGCACCGCTTCCCTTCCCTGACACTTGACAACGGATCTACACAGCTCTCCCCTACAACTGAGCCTCCATCGCCGCAGTCATCTTTTCATCCAACCTCCGGCTACCACAGTCCATCGGACCTTCTTCTGCACTAGTCCTCTATAGACTAAACTTCCATCTCTCCCTCCATCGAACCTCTATAGAGCTCTCCGTGCCGATGTCAACACAAAAGCAGACCTCCGCAAACCGTCTACTCCGTCATCCGCTGTTCCATCGGTACCGGGATCTGCGAGAGCCGCGAGCTTACGGCTTCAAGCCTCCAATAGATCTCCGGGACTACCTGCAGCTCTCGATCAGATCGAGACATCCGGAAGCTTCCAGTAAGCCCTCGGATCGGCGGTCAGCGTAATGGAACGAACACAAGACAGGCCGGACGATTATGGGGAGAAACTAACGCGGAACGTCTTGTGCGATAGCTCAGAAATGTTTTGGCATTGGTTGCAAGGCGCCGTCAACTTAGAAATCGGTTATTGGAAGAAAACCACCCGCCATATTTGTCATTGTTTTGCGATGGATAGATAACGATTAGTTTTAGATTCTATAATTGTGCATGCATTTGTAAATGTGAATGAATGCACGTTCACTAATGACTTGCAACCGTTTTTATCCATTTACTGGTATTTGCCTCTCGTCATTGCCCATCAACCCTCATCTTTGTGATTTGAAGGGTAATAATTAAGGGAGTTTTATTTCAAGACTGCTTCCATCAAGTTTCTTTTGCCCCTTCGACCCCGCGAGGCTATGTGTTAACTGCTGGATTGCTAAGCTTCAGATAAACTAAAAGCCATGCCGCGCAAGCCGCAAGGAGTAGACGGCTCACCGGCAGCTATGGATCAAATATGGCACCGCACCAAACAATGGTTATGCTCACGATCTCTACATAACAAGTTTTATCATAACAATTTTTTATGTCATGGAACCGTCATGTCGGAGAATAAGTCTGTGAGCAGTCCAGTGTGTTGGAATGATTTCCCATGTGAATCGCCGGCCGCCCAATTACGGGAAGCGGCAAGAAGGAGGCGCGAGACATCACAGCCCGGCCCGTCACGACCGCCTCCGACGCCCGGCGGCACTTCCGAGATTAGTAGAAAACTAAAATAAAAATCATTTTTGTCCACCGGAAGTTAGGCTATGCGACTAGTAGAGATCATGCAGCTCTCATTGCATGATCAGACAAGAATCAGAAGAGTATGAGGTTTGTCAGAGAAGTGCAATGCATATTGCAGCATATAGCGATCAAAGACGTTCAGCTGATCCAGAGAAAATGCTTGCACGATGCAAGTTCGGCGTACTGTCAGGGACAAGCCATTCAAGCCGGATAATTGATAACTTCTGTCAAGGAATGTCGAGCGCAGCATTGAGACAGTTCAAAACGCTTATCGTACCGGTTTATCTCCTTAAATTATATCTAATCTAATTACTGTATTTCATATAGCTGCAATGCGATCGGAAAAAGCTCCACTCGATAACGATTCAAAACACAAACGCACTCCCAGTCAGTAAGCGACATGAGCCCGTCGCTGGACATTCTAACAGCGCGTCGCCAGCCCGTATCTCTCGTCTAACGGTGGCGAGCAGCCCGTCCGACCGACCCCCCGCCGACTCCGGAGGGTGACCCATATCGGTCCATTAAAGCGGTACTGAGTACACAGCCGCCGCGACACCGGCACTCTATCGCCCCACCTCTCACTGCGCGCAGCGCAACTCACCGGGTCGGCGAGTTTCGTTGTTTATTTAAGAGAGTTTTGGTGAGAATGTGCGTGCACATTTCCAAGAGGTGACGATTCTTTGTCGTGACCGCAGCGACTTTTTGGTATTGCTGGGCCTGGTGTTCTTGGCTTTTTTGGTAGGTTTACGTATTTTTGTTCTGATGTAAGTACATTTTGCATATTAATAGACGGATAGGGCAAATTTCACGAAGTTTCACGCCGATATTCGCGGACCGGACATTAGTGACATCGAATGACGTGTTAGGTATTGGCACTGTTCACGAGCGGATATTCACGGGTGGGCACGCCAAGCATTCACGAGTGGATCAGCCGGCTATGAACGAGGAGCATCAGACCTGACTCAAGAATACCACCGTAACGTTGACACTCGGCGGGTATTCCGTAACGTTGACACTCGGCGGGTGTAAGTTCACGGTCGTGCAACCGCATGCAGCTTGCATTGCTCGGGCTGGCGACCTTTAACGTTCACGAGTCGGCAGCCCACACCAAGGCCGTTGGTTAGCGCATGACTGACCTCAAAGTTATGATACTCTTGCAGCAGCTACGCAATGGAATCGTTTAACTTGGTGGGAACAAGTGGCGCTTGGTGGTGTTCACATTTCTTGAATGGGATAATGTACGTATGGAAGTGACTATATGCCTTAAAACGCATTTTAGAGGAAAATAATGTTTGCATAAACCTCATGAGTGTAATCGATCAAGTCGACAATGGAAATAATGCACCTTTAAACGTTTGAGAAAAACAAAATCTGCTCGCTAGGTCAAATAACCTCTCCGATTTTGTATGAGTACGGTGAACTACAAAGAGATCACATAGGTCATGTCTTCCTGAAGCGATAACACGTCACTTTGCTGTGTGTTTACAGGTACCTAATACAACGAGCTTCAGTTCGGTCTTCTATCGAGATTGTAAGGCATTGAGCTCACGCGGTCTCTTTAAATCATGTTAATATCTCTATCGCTCACCCACGGCGCCTAATGCAGACGATCAAGCCAGCAGTACCGCACATAACATATCGTACTCGTACTGGAGGAAGATCGCATGTAGCAAATGGGAGCCGTAAATTAACCTCATTAAAGTACATACCTACGTATCCGTACGTATCATACTTGACCAGATTGGGATCTACTGCATTCTGGAGAGAAACGCAATAAGCATTTTATGGAGGATCCCAGGAGTGGTCGTCCATTACCGCCCTGGGGCAATATTGTCTGACGGAACTCAGAAAGAGTAAATGTTCCTGCGGGGATTTCTCGCTTTGAGACTCCCTTAGCGCAGTTCCGTATTTTTGCTGGTAAGACAATGATCCCTTATCAGAGATTGGCTAAAAATGAAGATAAATGTGTGCAAGTGCAATATTTGATGGATGCATGCATATTGCATAAGCTATTTTTGCGAATGCTGCCATTGTCCTTTCAAAAAGCATGTTGCCGACAAATTAAGCAGGGATGTAGGTACACAAACATAAGTTGATAACGAGCGTCAGCCTCATTCAACTTGTGCAATTCTGCTCTCTCATTGATGTTCTGTTTTTGTCGTGCTGCCATTCCGGGAACCTCTAAGCCTCCACTAAGGATGGCGCGTGGGTGTGTGCCGCAGGCGCATAGTCTCCACTCAGGCCGGCTTTAGACGGTAGGTACACGGCCATCGTTACGGCACTACGAGCACGGCCCGCGCTCGGTGACCTCTGGGCGACCGGTGACCGTCCCCGTTCTGTGCATGTTAACCATCAGCTGAGACGTCCCTCACCGTCACGATGAAACGGTTGATTTAATGCTTCATTATCGTAAAATTGCAGAGTAGGCCATTTCGGTCGCCAAAGCCGGGACCGGTTAGGGTGATTCAAGCTCGGACAGATGACTGTTCCTAGCAGGTTATGTCAGTTTAGCTGTTGTAATAGGTAAAAGACGAGTGACGGTATTGGAGGGCCTTTTAGAAGTCTTTTTGAACAAAGAATAGAGGTGTCTTTTTCCTAATTGGGAACTATGGATTTGTGAGGCAAATGTTAGCCAACAGCTTGTCTGAAAATAGCGCACACATTCTCGGCTTGCTACATAATGTTTTATGACTTGCATTGCTAACGATGAAAGATATTAGCACTTCAACTAATTTCAACTTCTATCAATCATACTTCCTTTGCTCGGATGACTCTTCCGCCGTTCTAGTCCATGCCTATGCTGTAATGCCTTCGAACCTATACCAACCAGCGTCGATTGTCTGCACTGATTCGAGTTGGCGCGACGGTTGCCGGTTGAACGGTGCCGGCGACCAGATCGCAGTGACTGGATCAGGTCGGCAGGCTTCGTTTGGCTAGACTTTCCACCGAAATGTCGTGCGTCGTGCACAGCGTACATAACAAGTGTCCCAGAACCTTAGTTTATCACATGTCAGTTGGCAGCACTGGTCGTGAATAAGTCAGAGGTCTTAGCAGGATTGCTGCAGGGATAAACTAAACAGCATATAGCGGGATGCATATGTAGTCATGATGTCCCAAAGAGAGATGAGCATTTCACATCCGTCAGTTTTCGTCACGACCGCGCTGAAACCCATCTCGGTCCAGCGCAACGGTTTGGGACGAGTCCCACGCTCTCATCAGCGATTGTCTTCGTTGTTTTTCGCTTATAGAAACTGACTCATCGTCAGTTTTTGACGCTTCCAAGTCGGGAAAGGATGGGCAAAATTAGGTACCAAAAAGGTTGCACACGGGAGGCGGTAAAGTTGAGATTTGTGATTATTTTACGACATCCAAAATTATACGACTGTGACAAGCGCTTGACGCTGTGTGTCCTGCTTGGCTCTACCTTAGTAGCTATATGATTTTTACCTATTCATTTGGACATATATGTAAATCCGATTGTCGCTGCAATGGTATTGCCTAATGTGCATTCCCATATACAAACATTAAAAGTAATTAAGTAGACCGAACGTTTGGTCCGGATTAGACGAAACGTTGCTGAGCAAAATTAAGATTGAAACTGAATCTAAAATTTAACTTAACTTTGATATCTTCATTACACTGAAAATAAGCAAGCGCCTTCATGCGATCCTTTGCAGCGAACGACCGCGTTCGGAAGTTAGGGACGAAATGTTTATTAAATTCGACCGCAGTCGCATGCAGAACACAAACAGATAAATTATTCTCCGTATCTCAGAACAATGCAAGACCCGTGAAGAGCAATATCTTGTTCAAAGATAGTGAATACAAAGAAGCTCAGTGTGCGTACAGGAATTGCTGGCCACTACTTCGGAAGCGAAATTCGGGTGCGATTGTCCAAACTTTGCCGTGCGTGCCTTTATTAGCGAGAATCAGCTGTATAACTACGGTCCAGTGTTCCTAATCTCTGCGAGGTATCAAGGCATGTTGTAAGTTATTTCAAAACTTTTCCCAATACGCCGACGACAGCTGCCGGGAAGAGGAGGTGAAATCGCTAAGATGAAACTACAATCCTCAGAATGATTCTGTTTCAGAGTATAGCGGACAAATGCAAGTAATTGGATGGTCCATGAAGTTCAAGATTGGAAGCGAGTTGCTGCATGCGAAGTTTTAAGTGGATTTGACAGCCCTTCGGATAGCTTCATTCGAACTCACTAGAGCAGGAAATCCAGTTAATTTGCCCTGCGATCATTTATTTTACATTTTTCATTATCAATATCTATTTCAGGGGCATGAAGCAGCTGTGGGGAATTTCATTTTATGATGGATTATCAGATTTAGCCCCGGCCTTCCCTACTCATAACTTTAGGACAACAGGCTTGGTTACTTTGGAGCGAGCATCTGTTGCACGTTTTCTGCATCGATCGCGGCGCCCAGTGAGGGTATGAGACCGAGGTGATAAGGTCACGGCGGGTCATAGGCGGGCCACGAAGTTCCCCTCGATGCGTGCGCGAATTGCGAGCTGTATTTTATTGCTTCATAAATGTATGGGGGTCACACAATTGTTAAGGAACGACGGTAGGAATATGAATGCATTTAACACTTGCGAACACAGAATCTAACATACCTATTTATTCAAGAAAGTTCTTGTTGATGTTGTCCAGACAAATAACAGGTCCGCAATCATTCCGCGAGTGTCAAGTACTGGCAACGTTAAGCGTTAGCCGTGCGAATGGGGGGTTGTGAAATCTTGATTGCGGTATCGAAACGATAGGCGATGTGATTATGTTCTTTTGGAATGAATATCAATGCATTTATAAGTTACTGAGTGGCAATTTCAGATGAAATATGATGAACATATCGAAGAAGCTAATAAAGACTCTCACACATACGATACTTTTTTGCTTGAGGTACGTATTTTGCAAGCATAGCAGCCTTTTCCGAGAGGCCGCTCCCGCTATTCCGTGACATATTTTCGAGCATATATAAGGTGCACCATTGTTACAGAAACTCAGGTGTCACAAGAAGAACCTAAAACGAATTCAAGCAAACAGGTTTAAGCTATTAAAGCATTTTAGCAAGCATATTAAAGCATTAAAGCATTTAAGCTATTTTGTAGGCATGTCACATCTATGTAGACATTTTCCACGAAAGTAATGTACACATTTGAATGTTTTGCAAATAATTCCACACCACTGATCACACATACCTATCATCATTATCATATATATTTAAGGTCATCCATCGGCTTGAAACGATTTGGTAAACAACTCGCGTGGCTGTGGCCCATGAAATTTGTCGTATACAATACAAATAAATCATTAAGCTCAAACACAATTCATCTTTAAATTGTCCTTACTACAAATTACCTCGCTGACAACACCAAAAGGGAAACAGCGCCAGTTGAGCTCACCTTATGTAGCTGAATTTGCCGCCGCTCCCCGGTTCGTTGCCACCTTCCCGTTAATCTCCCTCGACAACGCCAGCGGCGCCGGCTCACAGCTCGGTACACAAGTCACAGCTCCGCTGTCACCGGTCGGACGGCCTTCGACAGTCGCTGCCGACAGTCGAGTGTGCCCGCCGGCCCGGCCCGGCCGTCACACCGCCGTCGGTGCCGATGCACGCGCCGCGCGCACGACGTCGACGCCGACGGCTTCCACACGGCCATGCGGAAAACCCGACAGCAACTCAGCCGAGACGCTGGGCCATACGCGCAATTGTGGTATAAAGGTCATGTGTTGAACTCCCCGGCTTGTTATGGAGGTATATTAAAGCTGACTCAGTTGCATTGTTTTAGGATGATAAAAGATGAATGGGGCAGGACGAGAATGAACACGTTGATGAGAAGTCTTTTGCAGTGTTCTTTTGTCTCATTGGTATATTCAGCAGGCCTCTTATTTAGACGGAGGGACGGGATGACAGTTTTCCATACAGCACAGTTGTATTAATTGTTCCACACAATGTGATAATGACAGCGTATTGTAAGGACAGGTAAATATCAGCCCCATTTACCAAATCATACGACGTTCGATTAGTTCGACGGACGCGACGACTGCTCGTTCCAGTAGGTAGTTTTCACTTTTTAGTGTATTTTCTCTCTTTAGCGTTGAATTTCCAGTTAGCTACAATGTAACCACGGAATATATAGTCTGCGAATATATAGTGTCGTAGACTATATATTCCGTGATGTATAAACTATATGCTTAGTATTCCGTATACCCCTGAGTCCCTTAATTAAAGCGTGTAATCTTGATCTGTTTCGGTGCCATCGTGCCAGCAAATAGTCGAAACGGTAAACACTTGCATAATGCACAAGGGCTGGATCCTGTATGCATGCATATTTGCCGGTTGTTTAGGAGGTGTATGTTTGAAGAAAAAGTGAAGAGACATCCATGACAGTGAGCAATTGAGCATACATTTATCTTGTGCTCATCAAGTACTTGCTTAATGTTATGCCTTGCTATTCGCTTTTTAAGCACAATTTTGCGTTCAAATGTGGCTTTAATCAACGATGCTAAACACGTGTGTCGTCTATCAATTTAGCACGAAGTCATGCTTCACAAGAAACTTCACAAGAAGCTGCATTTAGGCCATGACATATTTCATTTTCGATATGGCGGATGCATTTCATTCTCCAGCATCCCTTCTCATTAGCACATTTATTTTGGGCTATACCAAAAATATTCTGATTCAACGCCAGTGACGCACATGGAAGGTGCTCGTATAGACGATGTGTTGTGACGGCATGTCGAGTCTGTCGCTCTTTAAACTTTAAAGGGACTATCCCACCTTCTAAAATGTTGTTAAAACCAGTTAAATTGTGCCCGACTTTATAGATTGGATGACCAGGAACACGGTTCTGGCATTTATTTTTCATTAAACATCTTAGGCTTCCCATATTCCAAACACAAACTTTCAAATATGTGACGTCACAGCCCAAAATTACCTCCTTCCCCAGGCCACATTACTGTCATAAAGCTGATTCTTTTTACTCTGTAGGCACCACAACAAAGTTCAGACCAAGTTTTAAGCGATTTTTCCACGAACAAACCCATTTAAATCAGAATGACTAAACGAGGTGACGTCACACTAACGGTCGCTCCATGTTGAAGATAGGGCCTTGTACAAGGCCCATTTTCAAATGAATGGAACGAATTTCTTCAACACCAAGAGGTTGGGGGTTGCAACCTAGATAGATAGTGGTTTCTGAACCTCGCCGCAAACTTGGCTATCTCAACTCAAACCCCATGTTAAAGGTGGGATAGTCCCTTTAACTGTCAACAAAAATGTACTTTCCATGAAGAATAGATGTGCAATTAAAATATACATTCATGAATGCATGTTTATAGCGCTTACTGAATATTATTCTGCTGAGTATTTCCTACAAAACCGTATGTGCTTATTTGCTGGTCGATATGGTAATTGGTAAGCATTTAAGCAATCTGCTACAAAAGCAGCGTTCGCAATACATAAGTAAATAAATAAAAATAGGCGTGCACCTGACGTGTGCAGCTTCACAGTGTGTTTCCAGAATGGATAACACCAGTCCACCCGAAAAATCAGGTCAGACATACCTAGCAACAGCAGAGCGGGACCTTAAATCGGACCTCAGCTGCAAGCTACGCTGTGAAAATGCAATTACTACTCCACAAACGTATTAAGCGTTTCAACGCCGCAACGTTATCTCGTTTCAAGGCGCTAGTCACCCGAACTCAACAATGGGTCTCGTTACTACGTCTATAAATCGGTTTAACCTACACTTAACATCCGCATCGAAGCGAGCGTCCGAAATTCATGCTGGCAAACGGTGCAAATGGTCCTGCCGTTTTCCGGGAAAGGTCGCCATCAGCGCGAGCGTCTGTCACCTTTGTTACCACCTCCGTATTAGTCCTGTCCAATTACGGAGACCGACCGTGGCATGTGCCAGGCCCAGCGCCGTCCATCTATCACGACTCCATGCGCGTGCATGCGGATGCATTTGTTCTCGCGATATTAGTCGGTGGTGTAGGCGTCGGGCGCTGGCGGTATTGGGTAGAGAGGTGCTCAATCATGAAATTCATCCCATGGAAGTGGTTTTGGTGGACGCAACTTGGTTCAACTTTTAGTATATGTGTATGGAATTAAAATCTATTTTTGCGAAACGTTTGAATGCTGATGAGCTGATTCGTTCGACCACATTTGCTTATACCAATACAATGAGTTGTATCGCCGATTGAGTGCCATCGCATGTCGTACCAACCCATTACCAACTCGAGCTCGAGAGCCGCTGCAGGATTTACCACGAAGGCGTGAGAGGAGCCCCGGGAGTGGGGCCAAACATATCGACTCGCCGAACTACAAGTGCCTGTTGACATGGCCGAATCCGACCCATCGGATACCCCGAGACGCTATATATTGACGTTCTCTAGTATCCTCCAACTGGGCCCATATTCAAGCCAGCACCCACAGCGAACTCTGAGGTGAAATGCCCAATTTAGGTCAATCGTTTTATCTATTGACGTTGCCTAAAGTTGGAAGTCAGCTTTGTTGGTCTAAGGAGTAACGTTTGCCCAAGGGCAACACCATTACCGTATCAATGCTATCCCGTATTGCACCTCAGGCACGGAAAATACCTAAAGATATACTCGTGAATAACCTTCTGCGCCGCTTCAACTTATTCTCTCTCTTTCTCTCTCTCTCTCTCTCTCTCTCTCTCTCTCTCTCTCTCTCTCTCTCTCTCTCTCTCTCTCTCTCTCTCTCTCTCTCTCTCTCTCTCTCTCTCTCTCTCTCTCTCTCTCTCTCTCTCTCTCTCTCTCTCTCTCCCTCTCTCTCTCTCTCTTCCTCTCCCTCTCTCTTCTCCTCAGCTCGGCTGTCTCGGTTGCGTGCCTAGCTAAGAGGTCAACAAGCTCGTAGCGTGACAAACGGCAAATGCTCATGACGAGTTCCTGGCTGGGGCTAGTAAAGGTTTGTTAAGTTGCTGTTTGACAATATACCCTGGTTTGACCGTCCAGGATAGGTACCTCATAAGTCTGAAGCAGGTTACCAGCCATACTAAGTGTTCACACGACCATTTTTATGTTTAGAGGGTTTTCCAAGTCAAAACATATAAGCCTGTAAGGAAATAAGCAGCCGCTTTTGGATCCTAATGCTGCCACATATGTATATGCAGCAGAAGGATTGTTAGTTGTCGGCTATACCTGGGCTCTGCATAGGCTAAAACCCTATTGGCTAAAACCACAGGCATTGAATCAAAGTTGGCAAAAGTTAATCACTGATGAAATAAATAATGCTAGCATTACCTCATAAGGGCAAGTAAAAAGGAAATTTGCTTCTATTCGCGAAGCAAAAAAAAAAGTAAAACACACAGACATTTTAACGGGTGTTGTAATCGACAGGAGCAAAGACCTGCTGTCTGGTAGGCATAATACAGAGGTCTATGGCAGGAGTTTGTGTGTTTCAATGTGTTCATTATCATTATTTATTAATGCAAACAGACGTGTCACCAGGCGCCCCAGGGTGGCATGTAAGGCATTCAGTAACACATACAACTATGGGTTGAATGTACGGGCAGTGTCGAGGGCCATTCACGTCAAATTAACCGCTTACGGTCACGTGACGATCGGCAATCAACCGGATCAACGTCAATACAGCTAGCGTCATGCTAGGCTAGTTGCCAACCACCAAACACACATGCTTAGTAGGTGTCTGGTCAATTACGCGTCAAATAGAGAAGCGAGAATCACAGCAGAAGCGAGGGTGATATCGCAGCCTCTGCGGAAACCCAACCGCACAATGCTAGCTGCCGCGCACTGTTATTACCACTATAATGGGGGACATCAGTCAGTCTTGATTAAACCCCATTTACGGGGATTTGAGGTGCGTTTCTGTAGCACGTGCCCGGCCTCGTGACCGTGCAACGCGTGCACGCAACTTTGTTCCCAGTTCGCGTCATGGCACGGTTCAGCTGGGCGGAATACGGGGGACCCCGGGTAGACCCAGCCGCGCCCCATGAGACCCCATTGTAGACAAATGGACTGTCCGGGAAACAAAGTTAAGGAAGCAGCCGATTGTAGCCATTGGGGAGAGCTGCTCCCAGCCGATTGGCGAATACTAACGACGGGGCCACTAAGGTAATACACAACAGCGGCCGATTGGGGAGGTGACTGATGAAACGCAACACATCATTCCGCTCACGGGCGCCCATCTCGAGGTGCCGGAAGGCACGGAGCACACTCTACCACTCATTCGTTACCTGCATGCGGCCTGTCGGATCGGAGGTGATTTGGCCGGAAAACCTCACCTAAGTACCTAAGTGGTTGGATGCATGTATGATGTAACATATGCTGTAACATGGCATACCCATTATCCAGTCTTCATAGCGTTTGGTTAGCTAAAATGCCATTCCATTATTTCTGTTGACAAGCGAGTGGCACGCGTATGATTGTTAGCTCCGATACATTACACCTCATTTCCCGACTACAACTACAATTTCATTTATCTAGGATTGTGCCTACTTATTTTTGTCAGTCAAACCACCGTGCTAAAAGCGCTATATCTAATTAAACGTGTGTAAACGTAATGGGATGAAGGATCAGAAGCTACTATATAAATGAACACAGAATGGCCAAATGAATGAAAGGATGAACAGAAAACTGCAGTAACTCGCACTCAGGGTCATAAACGCTGCCCAATCGATTACTTTGATTAATTTATTATCATTCACATAATTTTGCTCATTAACTGACTCTAGGAGAACATCTGATAAATAAGCACCATGACAACACAAAAACACTGCGTTTTCACAGCACTCGTCGCGGACTAGACCATTATGAAGAATCACATTACAATTTTTCGACCGCACGGGACACAGCTGACAACCAAATCCACCCGACAATCCGCGAACGCTGATCGCTGAACACACCCATCTCCAAGACGCGTTCAGGGTCTGGCGAGTTTGAACCTAACCGGACATCAATATCTCAGCGAGACCATGGGTCTGTGTGACGATACAGAGCGGTGACGACGGGTCCAGGGTCGGAATACGACAGCCTGTGTGACGGGTACGCCGCGCGCGCCGCGGGCCGCCGCTGCCGACAGGGCAGACGGCGGCGAGTCCAGCTCCGAGGCCATGCGCTGCAGGTGCTGCCGGATGCCGCCCAGGTACTCCTGCAGCTCCACCAGCTTCGACTCGTTCCGAGCAAACTGCCGGGAGGAGGGGGAGGGGGAGTTGGAGCTGTGTCTGTGTGGATAGGTGGGGAGAATCACGCTTGTTCTCGATTTTTTTTTTGCGAATTTGATGTACTGAGTCAGAAAAAAATGTTGGCAATGAGAAGTCGATCGAAAAAAACAGGCAACCTTTTAAAAACTTGTTGCGCAGAGCAGCGCGCAGTTGTGAAAAAAAAACTTAGTTTATTCAGTAACGAAAAACTTGAAAAAAAAACTTAGTTTATTTCTAATGCACAATACAATACATACATCTGCATTATACATCTTGTGATTACAATGACCTTAATCAGACTAGCCGAATGCCCCACAGAAAGCATTTAAAGCAGATCGTCTGGTGGTCCGAGTGTCTTGTCCTTGACCAAGACACGGGCGTGTACAGTTTCCACTCACTGTTCCAGTTAAATGACACACTTTTCTAGACATTGCCGCTGTCTGTGTTCACATATAACTCCAGATATCGTTAGGATAAACCGGCAAGCATCCGCGCAGCGCATCAGTTCTGTTCGCATGAGATCACGAATTCAATTTCAAAATAGCATCCACTATAAAACCATGGCCACCGTTCATATTGTCTGAGTCGAACTGCTGCTTTATTACAAAGCCACATACCGCCTTGAGACATTTGGTCTTTACTGAACAGACTTTGAGGCACCGAATTATACCCGTCGCTTTATTGAAGCAGTGGGCGAAGCAGCGGCAAACGGCGACGTAATTACTGGGATAAATCATTGTTTTAGCCGCATCGCTTTCGTCAAATACGGTTCGGGGATACGTAAACAGTACGTTTTAATTGTCGTTTGTCGGCCAGAATAGAACCACTATTTACAGACTTTAGCCTTTCATTACGGGACGTCAGTCCAGCCGCCACTGCGACACGGCATCTGTTTGTTGCCAATTAAGTGTAACGAGAAATCAATGGAAATTCTGGTGACAGAAACAGAATCCCGCCTCTGTCTATGGCTCCGAAATGGAGCGAAGCTGGTCACAACAAGACCCCCTCGGCGGGCGGAGGAGCCGTCGCGTGCGTAGGAAGCACACGTGCCACAGTGGCCCCGCTCACATGCACAGGCACATGTCCGGATGGGCCATGAGTGCATGTCACGTGTCCACTTCCACTAATGTCCAGTTTCCATAGCTCATGAAGGTAGACATGCACGGGACACTGCTAAGGAAGCGACTGTTTGCTAGGTGCGATAAATGTTTTATCCAGGACAAAGAAGCTGTATCGTGTGCTGCAGTTGTACGCCAGGTTATGGTTGTGGGTCAGCCTTAAACTCATTTTAGTCAACAGCTTCTTTCGTCAAACGTATTTATATTGCAAACTTCCTTGTTTTCAGTGACAGTGAGTGACATAGTTTGAAACTTGATCTGATCATTTTCACTGAATTGAATGCCATGAGAATTGAGCGCAAAACGTTTCTTTCTTTCTTTTTGTTTTGTTCCAAAAAAGACATATTTTTGCAATTGTAGGTATGCGGTTGACAAATCGTTTTCCTTTAGCAGGAGGCTCAAATGAAACTGTGCTTACTGGTATCACTGCTCCCTCCCGCCTTTACGTTTCGACGCTGAAATGACAATTGCACGAGCTGTCGTTTGCGGAATCGCCCCTTCAGACCTCTCAGTCCTCTCCCGGCTGGACATAAACGCATACCCTTAGCTCCCCAGTTCCCATTTGGCTCCCATTGCGAGCCGCGCGCCGGCTAACTGACCCGTTCCATGTGCTCGCCAGGTTCGTTGACGGCGGCCGGGCGGCGGCGGCGGCCCGGCCTGAACTCGGCAGCGCTCGGGTCCTTGGTCGGAGGACTCAGCGTCCGCTCCCGATGGCGACCACGAGACGCAGCGCGCGCCTTCGCGCCATCGCGCTGAGGAGCGGCGTACAGACAGGTTAGAGCGGGGAGAGAGAGAGAGAGAGAGAGAGAGAGAGAGAGAGAGAGAGAGAGAGAGAGAGAGAGAGAGAGAGAGAGAGAGAGAGAGAGAGAGAGAGAGAGAGAGAGAGAGAGAGAGAGAGAGAGAGAGAGAGAGAGAGAGAGAGAGAGAGAGAGAGAGAGAGAGAGAGAGAGAGAGAGAGAGAGAGAGAATAAAGAAAGAAAGAAAGAAAGAAAGAAAGAAAGAAAGAAAGAAAGAAAGAAAGAAAGAAAGAAAGAAAGAAAGAAAGAAAGAAAGAATGAATGAAAGAAAGAATGAAAGAAAGAAAGAAAGAAAGAGACTGAAAGAGGAAAGGAGGGAGAGAGAGAGAGGGGGATGGAAATACCCGAGAGTGGGTGGGACAGGCAGATAAGCCGACTGCGACAGACAAATACAGAGGAAAAGAGCCGAAAAGGAGTAATACCGGAAAAATACCGGGGGCATACCGAAAAATAGCATATTTGCGTCATAGCTAGAAGAAAAACCTTTTTCACTGACGTCACAACCACCGGGAAAAAGCACTGACATACAGACATTGCGCAATACGCGCGGACCGACCCTTTGTCGATTCTCTCGAACGGATAAATAATTAAATAGCATCATTTCCGGAGCGCACAAATAATGACCACTCTCAGGGATGCACAAAAAAGCCTGCACACTGCACATTGCACAGTCCTTGCTTTCTGGGAACTGTAGATGATCAAAAAGTATATCTGTACAACAATTGGCCTCGAATGAAAATGATATAATAACTTCTCAGAACTCGAGTCTCCATGCCGAACGAAGTTGTTGCAGAACCACTGAAGCAGCTGTTATGTCGTCATAAGTTTTTGTGGTATCATATACATCCTTTATCAATTATTTAGTATGTCATGAGATGTGATGCAAATCTCAATTTACTTGACCGCCAGAAACAAATGAAAAATTGTTACTTCTAAATGAGATTTATATCGATGAACTTTAAATGTTACAGTGCTGGCATCACGTCACATTGGAAATTGATGATATGTGACTGCTCTGCAAAAGGCCGCCGTGACTTAAGATGTAAGGCCTTCTGAAAAAATAGATGCCAAGTTATGCCTTCATGAATAAAGCTTTCATGAATAAATTGAAATTCTATCCTCTCAAATATGAGCTCTCACTTCGAACGAACATCAGCGTTTGTTCGGCCAATGAAATCACAATTCCTCCACATGGACACGCAAACCAAAATTACACAGCATTGACACAAAGCATCAGACGCTCAACACCCACAACACTAAACGCTCGCTGTGCCAGTCGCCCGGGTACGGTCTCCGCGCCGGGTTGCGGCCTGACCTCGGCTGAGGTGGCCAGCATGTGGCTCAGCTGGTGGAGGTACTCGCTGGCGGCGCGCTGCGACGCCGAGCCCGGCGCCGGTGCCGGCGGCGGCGAGCCCGAGTCGCTCGCCGGCTCCGACGAGCGGCGAAACTCGCGGCTGTTGACGGACGAGTCTGAGATGACGTCACCCTGAAATGGTAACCGGGCGGCGTCGGTGGGTCGCCGGGCGCGCGGCGGTTTCATGACGGTGTGTGCTGTTTGGCCTGGGGATTGTGGACTGTCGTGGCCTTTCTGCACGGTTGCGTCAGACACTCCGTTGACGGCAAAGTATGTCCAATTTGTCAGCTTAGTCGGAAGTCAAGTCGGCACTCATCATGTCAGTGGATGATTAAGTAACTGATTATACGTCAAGTGTCGACCTGTTTTGTGCGTTACAATTGTTGTTCGACAGACTATGGGATAGTGGAGAGTAGCGAAAATGAGGGAATACGGCACTTTATCTGGAAACACATTTTGTGTGACAGCGAGGCGTACTTACAAATGCAATGTGCTGAGAAGCCAACAGTGTACTTACAATGCAGCGTTTCTTATGAACGGCGCATAGTAACTAACAGCTCTTAAGTCGTAAGTTGCCTTCACAGTTTTATCAGGTAACCGCAAAGGTTTCTCTACTTTTCTGGTTTCACCTCGGATTCCACTATACCAATGGTGATTGGCTGATGCAACCATGTATTGCGTTCCGCAAACAAGAGCGCAAAACGACATGAACCACGTCTACTTTTGCGACGTTTGAATTTATACCAGCGCTACAAGAAATGATCGCTTATACAGTCGTGTTGATAAGCGGGCCACGGAAACATTTGCACGCGTATTTCGTCATGCCACTATTGAGGGGGCCTTGTTATACCGCAAAGAGATGCGTGTCGCCAAAGATAACGAACCGAGTCACGTTATCTATGGTGGTTCTCATAAACATTGAATCCATCCCCTCACCAATCCATCTAGATTGGATGTTAACTGCAGGCTTAAAGAAATCTAACTTAGAAACCTGCGATTTACAAGAATGTACCGTGATATGATTTCGTTTTAAGTTCTTTGAACTCATGAGATTCGATGAATATGTAACCGTAAGTTAGACTTAATAACAAATAGAGATATCCAGCTTCATCATTCATAATTATTCACCTGCCCATGCTGGCGGCCCTAAGACATTCTCAACCTCGGTTTGATTGGGGTCACGGCGAATATGACGAGCCAGATCAGACCACGACTCGCTGATGAGCTGGGAAAATATCGGCCTCTGCAGCAGCTGCCGCGATAAACACATCAGCGCCGGCCGACTCACACCATCTATCTCGTTAAGTGGAGCGTGACATGCAACGTCTTAGTAGAAAGCAACGGCGGATGAACGAGGCTGTTTCAGACCAGGACGCGGCTTTGGAGTTGAATCGATTCTTTGCTTTAAAATGTTGATGCTGTTTGGCTAATTAAACAGCCCATTAAACGTCGCGACATGGGGGTTGAAGTCACGAATTCATGCATCACGAACTTAGTATTAGTCCGCAAGCTGAGGACGCCTAATTACAAGAGTCAACTAGAAAAAAATGCGTGTTCTACCTACCTGAGACAATTTTCTAAGATGCATATAACACTATCTCACATCATCTCGCATGCACTTGGCTATTCTCCTGAGGACCAATCCTGGGACCAATTAGAAACCTAAACAGGCCACTAAGTCCCTGATTGACCGGCCGGTGTGCGTCTGTGTGGGTAATGGGCGGGGGGGGGGTGGCACGTACTGGGCTGAGCGTGGACGAGCCCTGGTAGCCGGCCTCCGCCAGCAGGCGCCGGTTCCAGCCGTGGATGCGCTGTCGCAGCCGACGGTCGATGGCTGCCAGCTGGGCGCGCCGCCTCTGCTGCTGCTGATCGGCCTGTCTGCCGCGCGGGCCCTCGGAGACGGCGCGACGCCGCTGGCGGCGGTACATACTCAGCAGCACGCGCCGGCGCAGGCTCAGCAGCTTGTGCTGCAGCTGGTCCAGCTTGTCAGAGGTGCCGCCACCCTGCTGGTGGTGATGCAGGGCGGGGAGGGGTGGGCGACGCGTCAGGTCATTGCACTTTCCGTCAGTCAAAATGATGTAACACCTTACCATCCATTTAAACTATTTATCCATTAAACATGTTTTTACACCAGAGATTTCTAACCATTCTCACCGTAAGAATTAAGAGCAGCATATTTGATTAATGCTTATGCATTTTGCTGAGCAGTTAGTCCAGCCACAAAATAAATTGGACTACATGAAAAATTCAGCTCATTTTCGGGGGCAGCAAAACAAGACCATCAATCTGTGAATGTAAACGTCAACAGAAGGTTGTTTCGGCTCGGGTCAGGGCTGTTGCGGGGCCGTCCAGCGTATAACAGCTTCTCGGAGGCGGACTGCCGGCTGTCGCTCCCAATTTTAGCTGTGACGCTAACTAAAGCTGACTGTCCCACTCGCTAAAGTTTGGTCACTCAACGTCACCTTTCGGGCGCTAAATAGCGCGTTATATCCGGGAATGAAAAGAAAGCGAGGTCAAAACATTCTTTAAACTTCCACAGCGCACACGTTTTCGCCCATTTGGGTTTATTCACGCACACAAAGAAGACAGTGCTCTGTTGGCACAAAGACAGAACACATCAAAAAGGATCCCAACGCACCATACAGGTCACAGAATATTTGACCGTCGCCGGCTTAACTTAAAAATGCGTGAAAGAAAACGACGTCCCGAAAAGCACATGCATGCAGGCGTGTAGTACCGTACAGTGGCGGGGTAGTAGCGGGCCGAGCCCAGGTGCGAAAAGCACCGAGTCATCAGCACTTAGCGAGCATGCATACTTGCGCAGCGCGTGTCTGGTAAGCAAAGATTAAGCCTGTAAAGGCTACAACTAATTAAGTGCTAACATCCGAATAAAACATATGGCGGGAGCTAATTATAGCTATAAACGCACCAAACCATGAATAGTTCCTTCCATCCTGACAGGATGCATGCGCCGTCTGAGCGAGCGAATGGCCCTGGGAGTAATAACTAAAGCAGCATTCATCGATAGCTCGAGTTCTAAAGAATCCGCGTCAATGCTTCCTGAGTGACATCTCATATGTCGTTTGGATCGTTTGGATATTCGTTATTGTTATTGTTATTGTATATAAATGTTTAGTATTGCTAGTGTTAACACTAACAATGCTGTCATACCAATATGAATGAAAGAATCTATAGCCTGCCACTGCTGTGAGGGCGCACTAGACTGTTCGCTACCGGAGCGTACAGTGCTATTCAGTGCAACTGTGCCAGTTCACCAAGCTCGAGCGAATTCATTAGCGCCGAATCTCATCAGCCTCATAAAGCAGCGATAAGAGCATCACTGCATTGCGTAATCAGTGCTGCATAATTATACGTAACGATAGTAAGAATGTGCACGCTAAATAAAGCACGGTCAATATTCGTCGCCAGTCTGCCGCGCGCGCGGGCGCGGCTGGAACGAGGAGCATATACTGTACCGCTGGACAGCCGTGTGCTGCGGCACAGCATGCGCGCAACGCATGTGTGGCGCTGTGACAGCGTACCACGCGAGCTCCTCCAGCGCAGTACGCACAGACTTCCAGACAGTTTGAAGTAAAATGCTTTGCTGAACGCTTCGTCAATTTGATAACTTTAATTGAGAATTATATATTTTGCAAATATGTTGTTCAATGTTCACTTTACTGTCCATGATGTTGTGGCGATGATTTCAGTTGACTAACACCGAGGCTATTTAAACGTTAAGGGGAAGCGTTGACCGCTGTGACCGCGGCAAAGTTACTTCGCAGGTGGTTAAGAGGAACAATAGGCCCATTCAGATCACTATAAATAACACAAATGTTTGCATCACCTTGAAAGCGATCATTACTGCCTCTTCCACCAAGACACACCTCCCATCGCTAGCAAAAACGATCTCACTGCGTTCCTTATTTCCGTGCGGACGCCTGTCGTGAACGACGGGCCGACGGAAATGAACACACCGGCACAAGCACTCACGTTGTCTAACCGGGCGAGGAAGGCGTCCGCCTTGCGATGGCGCTCCTCCGACTGGGCGGAAGGTTGGCGGGAAGAACCGTGGTGCACTGCCAGCACAACAGTCTTTGCGTCATCACGGGAACCGGTAAAACACCACACACGAACCGTGAAACAACAGCAAACACAGGAACGCGGAAGGTCATCTTGACCACGCGTATCCTTGACAACGGTCATTTACCCACAGACTGCAGGATGCTAGTAAATGGTATTTTCAGGATCCAACTCTCTCCATAAAGTTCAGCACTAAAGCAGTCAGTGGCATATGCCGCACAACTTTCCGTAGGCACGTGACCCCCTTCATCACACGAGGCTAAGCGCGCATGCATGAACCTGGCCCAATGACCCGGCCGTGTGGCGTCTGGCCAATCGCACTTGCATCAGTGGCTGCATTTGGGTAAAGCTGATCTCCATACAAAGATTGTCTGAGCCCGCGCGGGGCGCCAGGCCGATAGACTACATTCTACATACCACGAAGTGAGTCTCTGTGCTCTGGGGATCGGACAGCTCACCGCGAGTGGACTCGTTGACCCGCGGCGCCTCCGTGCTGGCACTGGCGGTGCTCAGGTCGGCCGCCCAGTAGTCCTGCAGCGGTGAGTCGTACTCACTCTCCTCCCTGACACCCTGTACACGCGACACGCAGAACATGTGGCGTCAGGCGGCTGCCTATAACCGGTCCCAGGTGTGGCAGCCAATGTACAAATATGGCGCACGTCAGTGGTACATGCATCCAAATAGAGGTCGGGCGAGCCGCACCGGTCCCAGCCGGCGCCGGGCCAAGATTAATATGGCACGTGCGTCGGTGACGAGGGACTATAAAGGATGATATTGGTGCCACTCGACCCCCAGAGGGCACCGGCTGTCCCCGCGGTGGGCAGCTTATGGCGGAGGTATTGACCCGCAGAGAGAAACGGAAAATACGGCATTACGTCGCGCCCTTCATCAAGACATGCGCGGCTTCACGCTCTCTAGAAAGTTGATCCGTGTCTGATCGTGTTTGCTTGCAGGGATAGGAAAGCTAAACTTGATTTCAAAAATAACAGGTTTAGTGGTTAGAAAACGATATTAGCCGTTTTCACGACGGGCTATTCGGCGAGTGCACCTAATTTGACCAAATCTGCACCTAATCTCTTTAACAGCAAATATCTTCATTTTATGAATTTATTTCAGTGTTTTAATCGATTATGCTCTCTGATAATAAGACAAAACGGGCTCATAAGCAATTAGTGCAACCCTAGCTGATAGCTACGAAGAGACACACTGAACCTGAATTGACCAAATCTGCACCTTATCTGTACCAGATGTGCACCAAATGTGTACCAGATGGCCGTCGTGAAAACAGCTATTGACATTCCACATAGTTTGCTGAGGAAGATGTGGTAAGCAGCATGCCAGCCAGTGATAGAGGGTGAACGAGCAGTCGGATCAGAGATATGCTACCATCGAACACGAGTACGCTTTCTTATTTCTCACTAGTCCCTTTCAATACGAACCTCAATTAACACAGCGTTGCATCTCAAGTCTCAGTTCTATAACAATCATAAGCAAAAACGCTGAACTGGCATCCAACCACAACCATTTCTACACATGGACTGCATTTGGACTGCGTTCGGAACTTCCCTACACAGCCTCTCAGCTTACGGCGACCCCGGCCGGCGGTGTCATCTGTCAGTGGCGACAGTCGAGGACAGCCGCGTGCATTGTGTGCCCTCTCCACGCGAGCATTAGGGCCGGAGATGGCTCGGTGCCGGATCGTCACGGCGCCGGAGGTGGCCACTTACCGGGGGAGCCGCCGATCGGCTGCGCTTGCCGCTGGCTGGCGCCGCTGGCGGTGGCGGCGGCGGCGCCAGGTGCATCTGACGCAGCTGGCGCAGCACCTCCGGCTGGTGGCGCCGGCAGCAGCTGATGCTGCGCCGGCCGCCGACCATCTGCAGCAGGAACACGGGGATACGGTCACCGATTAGCTGAGGAGGTTGAGAGACGGCCGGGAGGGTTTAATGGTTCCTGGGAAGAGATGCATGAAACTGGGGACTGTTAAAAGTTAAGACGTTGTTATGGGAACAGCTCCGGTCTTGCCAACTGGATAATTTGGCGGCAAGGAAAGTCATATGGGCACTTACCTACGTCATTATGCACTGCTGAAACATAAATTACGCTAAATGACTGAATAACCAATTAGGAAGCAAGTTTTTACGGCTTTTGAGACCTGTCCACTTCATGTGGGGCCTGAAAACAATTAGTCTTGGTGCGAAATAGCTGGTCGTCAGTCGTCACGGCCTTGTAAATACGAGTGCGCCAAGCCTGTTCGGCATTTCTTTATAGCTCCTTCGGAGATAAACCGTCGAACGAGGTCAGGCACGAACGTAGTGGTAAAAAACATTCAGACGAAGAACATGCTTGCCCAATTGTGTATTATCAAAGCAATTTACTTTCGCCCGACATTCAAACTGCTGGCTTATTACATTACCAATTGCACAGCTCAAGCCCAGAAAATATTTTCTATGAGCAGAATAGCCTGCTAAGTACGAGCACTTGCGGAAAACAGAATTACTTAATTATTCTTTTAATTTAAGAATGTGGTTTTCAGTTGATGTGCGAGAGCTTCAACCTCTAACCTGTGAAGAACACTTACATAAGCAGATGTGATACATTAAGGCGGATCCTCCAAGTTTAAAAACTTACAATCAAATCAAACATCGTATGCTAGATACGGCGCAAAAGACTTAGATGTCAATTACTGGCTGCGATGTTGAGAGCTGGAATTTTGAGCTAACATGATTTACTATTTGCTCGGACTCAACACGGCGCGTAGTATACAGGGTGATTTTTTTAACTGTTAAAAAGTAAATGTCAATGGTGGTCCCTAAATCGAAAAATCGCGTGCAAAAAAGCAATGCACGTGATAGATAAATCTGGGACATTTTGTATGGTGTCATGATTTGTCCCTTTTAACCGAAGGCCTCGGCCCCAATGGTGCCTGAAAATGTCCCACCAATCGGGCACGCATGGTCCACCGCCGTTCAGTAAGGAACGACACAAAACGATGATTTTGAAGCATTGAGGCAGTTCGAAGCATGCGATCATCGAGGAAATATCCCAGAAAGACGTTAAATAATGCACGAACAAGCTTGTAGTCATAAATAACCTTCAAACGGTCCATCTGGCGTATGTGCAGCCTCTGAAGAATCAGTCTTCAGGGAGAAAGAAAAACAGCGAATCAGACAGGGGCGTCGTTTTGTATAGGCCTGGTAGGGCCCGAGCCCTACCAATGTTTATTTGGGCCCTACCAATGTTCGCTGAGCCCTACCAATCTTATGTCACTTATCAGTTGGCAAAAAAATCAAAATAAACAGATAAGCAAATAAGCATATTTGTACAGTCGTCACAGATGTGTGTGGCCTGCTGGGCCGTAGGAGCTGCTGTCGCGAACCCTTCGCAAGCCGGCAGGGGGTTCTCAGGGAACGGCAAGGGGTCCTCACTCCTCAGACCGGCAAAGGGTCTTCAGAGGCCGGCAGCACTTTCAGAAGTTCAGTGGGGTCCTTAGAGAACGGCACGGTACTCTCAGACTCTGGTGGGATCCTCAGAATAGCCGGTGTGGGCCACGCAAAAGTCACCGATGGGTGTCCGTCAGATGCACATGTGTGGGGCTTTCAGAGGCGCCGGTGTGGGACCTGCACAGTCGCCGGTGAAGGCCCTCTTAAGCGCCGTTTCGGGGTCCTCAGATACACTGGTTTATGGCCATCACAGATATGCGTGGGACCGCTTAGAGCTGCTGAGCTCTGACGAGCCCTGTGGGGTCCCTTTGAGACGAAATATGGCCAGCGTGGACCCTCAGCGGCCGATTGGCGCCGCAGGGACCCGAAGGGCCCCCTGGACCCGATGGGAGGGGCACGTGCCCCCTGTGCCAACCCCCTCACTTGGCTACGCCACTGGAATCTATCATGTTATGTTTAAGATCTCTGCAAGATGTATCCCCCGTTTGCGGACTCTGCAGAGAAAAGGCAAGCTCGAAAGGAGGCTTAGCGCGGTGTTTTTGGCCCCTTTATCGAATATCTAGAATTAAAGTACTCGGCTTTTCCGGACAGTTTCGTGACTGTATTATTGTCACTTCGTCAGCGGTATACAAGTAATATACCTAAACATTTTCGAATATCTAGAAGATGTCATTGACTTGTCACCGTAAAGGAATTGTGGGTGTCACGTGGGTGTCACTAAGGGACACCGTGCCGAGTTGCGCAAGTGGAAGCACACCGAGTAACGGCTACCAAATGAGTGTTACGAGTTGAGGTTAGTCGGTAAGGTGATAGTGGTTGCATTTTGGAATGCCGACGGGGCTCTGCTTGTCAACTTTCTAAAACAGGGGCGCACAATTGATGATGTGCGTCCATTCGATAGACATCGAGGAGAGGCTATAGGGAAGCTGATTAAGTGTGCACCTGATCCACGTCCACGCACTTGCGTACATGCGCGGGGTGACGATCAGTGAAGCGATGAAATGTGGCTTCGAGTTGTTGTCGCATCCACTTTTTTCCGAACCCCGCACCCTCTGGTTGCCACCTCTTCCCCAACATAAGGAAATTAGCAGTGGCAACTTCGCTGACTGCAGGGAGACTAAAGCAGCCGTCTTGGACGTGGGATGGGTCCGAAACCCACTTGATTATGGAGACTTTGAGGGCTCTCCCGAAGCGCTGCGCGAAATGTGTTTGTCTTAGCGGTGGTTATTTGAATAAATGAACTTTTTGGTCTAATAAATCGATGATGTATCTCTCTACTTCTTCATGGTCGGGCAGGTAACTTTCTGAATGCCGGCTCGTACTGTCATCCTTTTATTTTGGCAAGCAGGCCTTTCTAACTATCGTGGTGTTTCGAGACCTCGTTAGTTGTCGAACCCTGCAAATTGCAATTGGCGCGGGCCTTCAAAGCCGCTCCAGGCCCCGCAGCAGTCTTTTTCATTCGGCTTGGGCCATCAAAACCGTTCCTGGCCCCTTGCAGCACAGCCGTGCCGTGGGCCTCTTTCAGAATGGCGTGCATTCCTCCGACACTATTATAACTGCCTATTTAACTGCACGTTTTGTGCATGGAGCTCGGTGAGGACCTAGACTTCCAAAATGTTTTTTTTAGATTTTGGTTTGTCTTGTCAATGACCAGGGCGAAAAAATAAGTGGCCGAAATCCGATGAGAAAGGCAGATTTGGGGGTACCCTACCTTTTAAGCCCCGTCACATATGGCCGGCCGCCGCCTTTGGGCCCTACCAATCATTTTCGGAAAACGACACCCCTGGAATCAGACACCACCAGGGCCGCCAGTATCGAAATCCTCGACCTGCCCTTCATAAACTTCTAGTTTTTGGACCCAGCTATGGCAGATATAACAAGAAAACATTGGAAATATCTGGCAGAACTAAAAATGGGTGATAGGAGCCTTTTCAGTCCGCCTAAAGGGTCTAGGAGTCCACGGTGCTGTTCAACACGTGCTCAGGCGGGCTGATTCGTGTCGGTGAGAGAGGGGGCAACTTCAAGCACAAGTAAAATACACGATGGACGTTCCTTCACATCGTGTCTGCATGAATTCAAAATGTCCCAGAATGCTTGTCTTCCTGGTATATAATTTTGTAATATATATTGATATTTTAATGCCACTAGACCTCATTACTTTTTAACAAGTAAAAAAAATCACCCTGTACACTCCCTGAATCAAACTATCATGACTGTCACATCGCAACCTCCAGCCTGAAAAGTCCGACTCAATAACCTACCGATGATCGATCAACATGCTCGTTGGTTCAACAGCATTGTTGCCACACAATGCCCTAAGCTACATCTCAGTCCGCATTGATCGCATCCCGAGAGAATCCAACCAACGACGATATGGTTTAGACAAAATAGTTATCGAATAGGCCAAAACCAGGGGCGAGTAGGGGAATTTTTTAGTTGTTTCCAGCATAAACTTTGTACGAATTATATGAACACGTCTTACCATTCAAGACACGTTAAAATAGAACGTTGAAGTAAAACTGTTGGCGATCGATGCTGAAATCTTACTAAGACTTGGCGTCGCGTCAACGACTACGACATCTAAGAATATGGCTCCGACGTAGGTACTCTTACACCCTTTCAAGAGAGCCAATCTGGTGTAAGTCGAACAGAAACAATGTGTCGAGACCGCTGGCTTCCTGAGCGCTCCTGGAACTGCTTTTCAGGACACTTGGCTATTAGTGGCACGGGAGGCCATACTCTTTTCATCGTTGACTCTCATTTGGTCATGCCGTGCAGAGGCGCGCACACCACCGGTGAACGACTGCGCTGGGGACGCTCGAACAATGTCGGGTATCGCGGAAAGACTGTCAATCAGGCTTCGGGAACTGCATGATTTGGTGGAGGCACAAGACAAAGATGAAGAACCAGAGGCCGACGTCCATTCAAGTGAAACGAGACGAAACGAAGCTTCGGCACAAAAAGAAAACCAAGAGTTCAATGAGCCTCAGCTAATCAGGCACCAGGGCCAGCTGCCTAAGGCCTGGCTACACTATGCGTTTTCTGCTTGCATTTTTTTGCGGGTTTGCGCTTTTTGCGTAATATCGTTTGAGAAAAAAGTAAGCCTACTAGAATCACTACTGAGACAGAGTCACTCCTGGATAACATCTACACCAGCTCAGACTGTGATGTTTTCTCAGGAGTCCTAACTAATAATGATATTAGTGATCATTTTCCAATCATTAACTTAACAACCATTAATATTACTCAAAGTAATTCCAAACCCAAAGGTACAAAAATGCCATGGATCACAACTGCCAGGGCTGTCAGATTTGTGTCATTCCTAGAACGCAAATTAGAAGGGTTTGAGGAGCAACAGGATGTGGATGAAGCTTGTGCTGAGCTCATAACCAATGTTCAAAATAACATAAAAGAGTACTTTCCTCCAAAGCCCTACAACAGGAAAACGACTAAGAAACAACCATGGATGACATCAGCATTGCTAACATCTGTAAATAGAAAGGACATGCTGTACAAATGTTACCTGAAAAATAGGAGCAAAGAAAACTTTGCAAAATACAAGGAATGTAAAAATTTGCTTACTAAGATCATTAGGAAGGCAAAAAGGTCTTATTATCAAAATGAGCTAGACAAATATAAAAGAGATGGGAAAAAGACATGGGACATCATCAAGGAAATACCTACTAGGTACAAAGTCTGTGTCCTCTCCTCCAACCAACCTGGTTGGTGAAAGGGGTATTGTGAGCGACCAAAAGGAAATATGTGACCTGCTCAACAATTTCTTTGTAAATGTAGGCCCCAAGATAAATTCTAGTGTAAATGCCACAAATTGTGACCCATTATCATTCATTAAGAATCAGAATACTGAAACTATGTTTATGATACCAACTGACATTGAAGAAATCAACTCAATTGTGAGAGAGCTGAAAGATGGCTCTCCAGGTGATGATGGCATCAGTGTCAAAATCATCAAAGCATTGCAACCTGCCCTTATAAGACCATTGGTACATATAACAAATCTGAGCATGAGTCAAGGCAAATTTCCAGACCTTCTCAAAACAGCTCTTGTCATCCCAGTTTTCAAGAGTGGAGACAGGTCATTAGGCCAGAATTACAGACCAATCTCACTAATCTCAAATGTCTCCAAAATCATTGAGAAGGTTATTCATAAAAGATTATACGGCTTCCTTGAAACTCACAGTATTATATCTGCCACCCAATTTGGATTCAGGCAGAAACATTCTACTGAACATGCATTAATTTACTTCTTAGACTTTATCACTGAAGCCCTAGAAAGTGGAAAACATGCCATTGGAGTATATCTAGATGTCAAGAAAGCATTTGATAGTGTCAATCATGAAGTACTCATTAAAAAGCTTAATAAATATGGTATAAGAGGAAAGCCCTTGGATCTAATTGCAAATTACCTGAAAAATAGAACTCAAAGAGTAAAAATAGGAGAGCAGTTATCTTCACCAAGAAGCATAACTTGTGGCATACCCCAAGGTTCTGTTTTAGGCCCTTTGTTATTCATTATTTACTTGAATGACCTAAGCACCATATCAAACCAATTGAATATCATAACCTTTGCAGATGACACTAATATCTTCCTCAGTGACAGCATGTATGACAAACTAGAAGGCAAGATGAATAGGGAGCTACAACTTATCAACACTTGGTTTGAATGCAACAAGCTTAAACTGAATCTTGAAAAAACGTGCTATCAAGTGTATACAAAAAGAAAAGAACAAAATCAACTTAATATAAATATTGAAGGCAATAACATCAGGCACGCTCCATGTGTTAAGTTCTTAGGTGTTTATGTAGACTCACAGCTATCTTTTAAAGAGCATATAAAAAAGCTTTCTACTAAGCTAAGTCAAATTGCAGGTATAATCAGTCGGGCTAGATGGTGCCTAAGTGAGCACCACAGCCTATTACTGTACAACGCCCTTGTCTTGCCTCATATAAGCTATTGCTGCTTGGTATGGGGCATAAACTATGAAACAAACTTAAAAGGCATCTTGACAGTGCAAAAACGCATAGCCAGAATAATTATGGGTTTACCATACAGAGAATCCGTGACACGCCGATTGAAAGAAATTGGTATGCTCACTATTCGAGACATTGTATCGTACAAAGCTACTATTTTTGCATATAAATACTTAAATGGTCTTCAACCAGCAATACTAAGAAAATCGTTCAAATTTAAACCCCCAAGTGTGACCAGAAACAAAGACACATTCCAGGTACCCTCCACCAGAAACAATTATCGAAAACACACTGTAAAATTTTACGTCCCAGAAGTATGGAACAAACTGAGCATACTCTGTGACTTATCAAAATATGACAGAATAGGGATAATCAAAACTAAAGTGAAGAACCATCTACTAAGATGAAAAGCACCAACACCGGTATAAAATGAACATGCAATGCTGTTACTCTCATCGAGTACAAGTCCTGACTACCGGCGCACGGTTAACTAGCTATAAGAACACATATCATAGATTTTAAAGAAAACGAAAAAAAAAAGAAAAGAAAACTCATTTTATTCTTCATCAAATCCATACCGTTTTTAACTAAAATACTACGTTAAGAGATTGGTACATTGACTGATACGTTGCCCCCACCCCACCCACCGGGCTAACCCGAGACCGGCCCAGTGTAACTGCGGGGCCGGTCGGCTGGCCGGCCGGGCGGGGGGCCGGCCCATACGATGGGCTGACCTCCCGCTCGGCTGGCCGGCCGCGGGGCGCCGTCCACGCGTGATGAACGCGGTACGCGGGACGGCGCGGGTGGGGGCGGGCCGCCCGCCTGGAACGACGGGGAGGTACCCCACAGATCTCCCCGGCTGGGGAGGCAACGTTGAGTTCCCCCCGGGGCCGGGGCGGACCATTCCTCACGCATTGGTGAATGATACCGCCCTGGCCTGGCCAGGCGGGCCGCAGGAGTGTGAGACTGGGAGAGTGTTGGCATGGAAATGTTTGCTCGCATATAATCACCATATCAGGCCCCATCTCTCCCGATGACTCTCTTGCAACAAGCTCGGCTTAGCTGGAGGGCATCGGGAGGGATGGCAAGACAACATGCATGAATTAGACCAGACCTGATTTACCCCACAAATGTCCCCTTCCAAGTGAGTGTGTGCGTGTTCCTCACTAACAATGTACGATTGAACCCTTAGCGGACAGTTGATGCTAGATTTGGCATTAACTACTATGGCTCTCTGTATCTACTAACCAAGTTAAATAATATCATGCGTAGTCAATTCCGCTTCTTTTATGTTTTTTCCTCTTCTTAGCAGGGAGTGCCGCGACTTTTCAACTTTGATTTTTATTTTGGTGTTAACGTAAGGGTTCTGTGCGTCGCTGGGACTGAGGGTGGGGGCACTCCTGGTTGCCTGATCATGGGTAACGGACTATTAGTAGAAAAAAAAAAGTCATAAATAATATAACTTTTACATTAGTTAAATACAAAAGTTAATATAACTCTGATATTAGCTAAAATTTACGATAAAAAACATCGCAAAAACGTAATATCGTTATTTTTTCTAGAACGATATTGCTCAAAACCCGCAAACCCGCAAAAAAAGCACGCAGAAAACGCATAGTGTAGCCAGAACTTTAATTACACTACCTTGCGGCATACTTAAGGAGAGCTGAAACAAACACAAGCAATATGCCACGGAGACAACCCGGGTCCGTTCCCCATCACATAAATCCAGCACCATTTCAGTGTCTGCAGACACTCTCACTCCGTATGAGCAATCAGCTAATGGCATCCATGGATGTGTTGATATGTTAGACTGCGGAGATTAGCTTGATGAAATGCATGTGCGTCTTCCTACCTTGAGCGGAGAAACGATGGCTGGTCGGCGCTGCTCGGGCATCTCCGTCTGGGAGGCCCGCTGGCGCTGCTGGCGGGACGGCTGGGCCGCCGCCTGCTGGCCAGCCTGCTGTCCCGTCTGCTGCTGCGGCGGCGGCGGCTGCTGCTGCCTCCTCGACTGCTGCGTCCGCTCCGGCTCGTCATTACCCTCTTCTGCGGTGCTCATCATGTCCGAATTGGAGTCCTTGAAACTGTCCAAGTCTGTTGACAGATGGGAGGCGATTCAGCGGAATCGTTACTCGGCTGAGAAACGAGACGCAGGTAAAAAGTTCCTGATGTTTGCTAACGTTGAATAATTTTCTCGTTTCGGCCAATGTGGATGTGTTCAGCATAATGAACTCACTTGGAAAGTTGGAACTCATTTCGGACCACAAAAAGTTTTTTGTTGGGCCTTTAGAGAATGCGAGAGAGACGACGGAATATCTGATGGTGTGGGTAGAGTAAGGTAGGAATACTAAGCCACCAAGAAGTCACACTGCCACACAGTTTCTATGCAGGAATTGAACCGTTGCCTTCATAAATCGATTAATGAAGCACAATTAGTAGAATTAAGTAAATTATTGGCCGGCCATAATTTAACCAATGAACTTCCATCCTTTGATAAATTGCTGGCCGTCCCGAAGACAATCCCCTCCCACTCCATCGCCGCTGTGTGTCTCTCGGCCCCCCTCCCTACACTGTAAAAAAAGTTTAGCATTTGGGGTACTAACGGCCGCTATTCGTAGCACCTTTTAGCGTCAAAAGAACCCTACGACGTATTTACAAAGAAGCATGGTGCTAATACTGTGCTAATGATAGCTAACGTTCCCATCAAATATTATAAGTTTAGATCACCTATTCTTCTACTGAGCTTAACGTCTACTTCTGTTAGTACCCAGTCCATCAGTGAGTGCTCTTTCAAGCTGGATTTCTAATTAGAACCATTTTAAGTGTTTTAGAAGTTGGTAATGCTGAATATGGTGCTTACGTTAGTATCACAATAGAACCGGACATGCTTACAGAGGAAACAAATTTGAAATTGGCGCCAAAGAAAGTAGCTAAGCCCTGCTTTACAAATCTCTGGGAGTCTTATCACCAGCCCTTTAGCACGTTTTGACGGCGCAGAGCGATATGCGCATGCGCGTGCCAGCTGTTTCCGGCCACGTGTTGCGCCATTTTAGTGGAGTCCGTTGGTCGTGGTGGGAGTGTGTGCACGTGCTCCGGTATATGAAGTGAAATGAAGTGAAGTGAAGTGCTCCGGGCACATGCCACCGAGTGATAGCTCTGGATTCTGGAATGATAGCTTAAATCAGCTATTATCGGTGGAATCCGTCGTGCGTGGCATGGGAGTGCGTGCCCCTGCTCCGGGAGGCAGTGAGGTGGAGGGAAGTGCAGTGCAGCAGTGCAGTGAAGTGAAGTGAAGTGCTCCGAGGCCGGGTGGTACATGAGCCTTTGCCACCGACACATGCCACCGACGCCGACGTTGATCGACTTTGGTGAGTCTGACACGTTGTATCTTTTGACATTATCTTATATTGTTTAAGTGCTTCATATTCCGACTTTGGCAAATCGCGCTTCTTGGTCTGAAAGAAAGTTGTGTTGTTTGCGAAAATAGCTCCCAACAGAAAAAAAAATCTTGGAACTGATCCAGTTTTTTTTTGCTCCAGGCATGGGGCCTGGTCAGTTCTTCCGTCGACTACCACTTACAATGGAGGACAACTACGACTACAACACGGGGTCTCCGGTTCCGTCTATCACTAAACGCCGTCTGGTCGTGGATGAGGTCGAACTTATGGCCATGAACGGAACGTCGGTTCAACGACCCCCCCCCCGCCTCCCCCAGTCGTTCTCGCGTTAATCGTCGGTCACTGCGAGTGTGCAGGCATATGAGCGACCTTTCGTTATTTTCCGTGCGTTTGTTTGTGTATATATTTACATTTGTTTTGCATGCAGATGATATGAAGTGTTAATAAATGTTCCATTATTATTTTTTAATTTTATAATGTGTTGGATGCTTGAAAGATGCACTTACACGGGAATATTGCAGAATGCAAAACACAATCATTGAGACTTGCTAGTTATCACTATTCACTTATCTAGGATATAACCTTTTTTGCACGTCTTTTCGGCCTTACACAATTTCCTTTTTGGTAATTGATTAGTTTTTTTTTGCAGTAACTAGTGAAAATATAAGCTGCTAAAGAAAGCAGTTTTTGCGAACTTTTCATGCAGCAGCTTTAACTAGTATAGATATTCTACTTTCAGCCCCAATGCTTTCGTTAGCATTATTCTACTTGTCGTGGGGAAACAATAGCGCTAAAACGGTTCATATGTGAGTACGGAAGGTACTAACTGCATGCTATTCTTAGCACCTTTTAAAGTTTAGCACCGCTAGGGTACTGAAAATTGGTCTAGCAGGTGTAGGGTACTACATTTAGTATACGGGTGCTAAACAAATATGGGTACTTATATTAGCACCTTGATACTTAACCAGGTCTCAGTTAAGTACGAATAAAATGCTTAGCTTAGCACCGCTAGGGTACTGAAAATTAGTCAATTGAAAAGTACCTCTATGGTGCTAAACTTTTTTTACAGTGTAGGCTCCCGGCATCCCCACCAACGTGTTTGTGTCGTCTCCGTCTCACCCTCGGGGCGCGTCTCCGTCTGCTGTCGGGCCGGCTGGGCCGCCGTCGCCGCTCCGCTCGCCGTCGTCTGCTGCTTCTGCTCCTGTCGTAGCTCGCTGGCGTCCCCAGCACCGGCCGGCGCCGAGTCCTGGGTGGCGTCAGTGCGACCCGTCTCCTGCCAGTCGCTCCTGAACGCACGGCCGGCACACACGGCTGTTAGGATCTTATTTGCAGACGGGAAACAACTTCATATTTCATTACATCAATACAATTTATCGCAGCGTCCCTATTTTGCATAGTAATGATGCATCAACTTAATTTTGTCGTAACTCGTATCATATGCGTATGTGTTATCAAAAGTCACGCGTATTTAAAATAGCACTTCCATCTCTTATTTCCGTTCAGCCATACAGCAAACACTTAATTTCGTACGTTGACGGGCGACGGACCTGCAGAACTGCACCATGCATATCACATGAACCTATATACTCGTCGTACAGTGTGCATGACATTCTCTATGCAATGCATGTCACGACGACCCAGCGACCATCTGAACTCACGTGTTGCTCTGGTCATGCAGTCCAGAGCCGGGTGACGGTTTCGGGGAATCCAGCTGCGTGACGGACGTGATAGAGTCGATCGAGTGACGATTCGAGTCGACCTCGTGACGCAGCGTGATCACCTCCGTCTCCAGCCGCGTCAGCATCGAGCTGAGCGTCAGCACGTTCGGTGCCGCCGCAGAAGCCTCCTTCTCCTCGGTCAGAGCCTGGCGGGCAACAGGAGCGTGGTCGGGTGGTGAAACAGGAGCGAGAGTAGGACGAGACAGGAACGAGGGCGGGTTGAGAGCGAGGGCGGGGTGAGGTGTTAGGTGGGGTCGATGCAAGGTAGAAGTGTGAACTCATACATGACATGGGGTAGACTAGACAAGTGCATGCATTATAGCTGCATATCGGCGGCATGTCGCATAAAACAGCTGAGACGCTTCATAACCCGGCCTTACGCGAAAAAGGTCGTCCCATAGCCTAGGGGCGTGACGTCACCGGAGCATCAATTTCAAGGCGGATTGAACCCGTGTCCCTTCAGCCGGTGGCTAGCAGTGCTAATTCCCGCGGCTGATCGAGCACTCCTGAGCTACCGCCGAGTCCCCCGGGTGGAAGACGGTTGACGCAAAAGCTGACAGAGGTCAGCTTTGATCCAAAGACCGGCCAACACCCACGGACCACGGTGGACGCATTAGCGAACTGCGTCGCAGCTGCGGCGATGGTAGAGACTAGAGACGCAACTAGCTCCTTCATCTTCCAGTTTTTCTTTATTTGATCCATCCTGTATCCGATTTGAAGACGCATTAAAGTGGCATTGCTTCCGCCGTTCCTTGCAAACAATTATTTATAACATACCAGCGCAAGACGTTCATGCGTCCAATTTCCACTTGCACCACTATTTAACATACATCGACCTTTGACAATGTGCACTGTTCCTTACTTCACCGCATTGCCAAAATTGTCTCTAGATTTGTAAGCCTCGAGCTCGCGTGGGCGGCCGCCGGACGGCCACCAGGCCAGCCGCGTCCAGTTTCCGATGACAGCGCCGGACTGTTGCGTAATATTTCTGTCAGCAACACCGGACCATAGGTCGGTAAATCTATTTTCCGCTTCCCCTTCGAGCTGCCAGCAAACATAGAGACAATTAGCTATGCTATGCGTAACCAATCTCAGCGCAAACCTCACAACCAAGTCCCTCCAGGAAAACACTGTAGCTGTACAAAAAGGGGCTATTGGTATATTCAGCCCAAATGAACACGACACAAACACACTAGCAAGTATACAAGTCTCAACCGAGACTGCCCTGCCAACGGGCCGCCACCCCTCCCCCCGCGCGGCGCAATGGTGTCCCCACCCAAACTAGAAACCCTGTCGTGTGTGTCCTCCCCCGGAAAAAGTCCTAACTAGAAAAAAACCGGGGGACCTAGCTGGGGAAAAACCACATTTTGTGGAAAAAACCCATCTTTATTTAAGAGTGTGGTGCGTGTAAAAAAAAAGCCCCAAAAATGGTGGTGGGTGGGTGGGAAACGCAAAAACATTTCAGAGCGAGAACACTGCTGACTTGCGTCAGACCGGGCGGCTTAGAACAGAGTGACCGCGCAAATGCACTCAAACCCCGCGCCGTCACCGTCACGTGACACAAGTCGCTCCACCAATCAGATGAGGCCGCCGCCTTAGCGGCCTTGCCGCCCGGGGGCGCAGGCGGCCGCCCGCCTGCCGCCGAACGCTGCTCGCAGAGGCCGGCCCGGCTCCGGGGCCGCCCCAAAGAAGACGCTCGTTGTGTCGCGGAAAAACCGGTTATATCTTGTCATATATAACCGGGCGTATTTTCCGCTTCCCCTTCGAGCTGCCAGCAAACATAGAGACAATTAGCTATGCTATGCGTAACCAATCTCAGCGCAAACCTCACAACCAAGTCCCTCCAGGAAAACACTGTAGCTGTACAAAAAGGGGCTATTGGTATATTCAGCCCAAATGAACACGACACAAACACACTAGCAAGTATACAAGTCTCAACCGAGACTGCCCTGCCAACGGGCCGCCACCCCTCCCCCCGCGCGGCGCAATGGTGTCCCCACCCATTCAATACATCCACCCAGACACCAATGCGCCATAATAAAACACCCCCTTCCCGAAACCAGTAGACCGAATGGGGGATACAAATTAACACAAAAGATCTACAGTCGCCGCCAGTGTCGAGACCAGTGGCGGAACCCACCCAAATACGTGCTTGGTTGAAGGAAGGTAATTAGTTCCTCAACCTGGCCCGAAGCTTACCAGAAACGCCACGATCCCTTAAACCTGCCAACATGAATGTGAGCGATACAGCGGTCACCAATGAAGAGCAATATTACGGCATTTATACCGAAGCCCTCACAGGACTAACAACCAGTAGCATTAGCCACTACTGCGATGATAGCCTCCACCAAGTAAAGGCCCTCGATATACCCGCCGAAAAAACAACCATCCATGAGTTCTGAGGCATCTGACAACAGAAGCTGTATTCTCCTTTACCTTGAACCCTATGCACATGCCTTTCAGCGCGACCATTAATTTTCCCATAACTTTGGAAGGGGTTAGAACAGCATCAACGAAGGTCGTTGACAGCCGCCCAGCAAAAAAGGGGAGGGCTCTCAGCCCGCTCCAGGAATCAGGCTGTTGTAGGAGGGGACGCCCGCGGGCAGACTAGCGAGCTGCCCAGAGGCCGTGTAGAAGGGACACCCCCGGGCAGACTAGCGGGCTGCCCCGAGGCCGTTGTAAAAGGGGACACCCCCCGGACAGACTAGCGAGCTGCCCCGGGGTCGTTGTAGAAGGGGACACCCTGGGGCAGACTAGCGAGCTGCCCCGGGGTCGTTGTAGAAAGGGACACCCCCGGGCAGACTAGCGAGCTGCCCCGAGGCCGTTGCAGGAGAGGACACCCCCGGGCAGACTAGCGAGCTGCCTCGGGGTCGTTGTAGAAGGGGATACCCCCGGGCAGACTAGCGAGCTGCCCCGGGGTCGTTGTAGAAGGGGACACCCCCCCCCCCCAGGCAGACTAGCGAGCTGCCCCGGGGTCGTTGTAGAAGGAGACACCCCCCCCCCCCCCGGGCAGACTAGCGAGCTGCCCCGGGGTCGTTGTAGAAGGGGACACCCCCGGGCAGACTAGTGAGCTGCCCCGGGGTCGTTGTAGAAGGGGACACCCCCCGGGCAGACTAGTGAGCTGCCCCGGGGTCGTTGTAGAAGGGGACACCCCCCGGGTAGACTAGCGAGCTTCACCCAGGACTTGCAGAATTGGGCATCCCAAGATTCTCCGAATGTCTAGGGCAATTACCCGACCTGAATACCAAAAAAACCCGCTTTTGAAATCTGATAGTATCCGCATCACCCGCCACGGGCAACAAGCTTGCCTTTCCGCGAAGATCCGGATTGATCAGGGACCAAATGACCAGCATACAGACAGCCCCTACGCTGTAAACAGGCCAATATGGGTATAAAGGTTGCCGCTGCTTCCTAGCTCGACACGTTTAGGAGGTGCTTACTGCCTCCAAACGCCGAGCTGGCTCAATGTCACCCATAGAAGGTACAGTAACTCACCCACCAACCAACCATAGGCAGGTCCTGAGTGACGTCAACTGATGCCGGCGAGGGGTACCCCGTACCAGTGCCCCAAACTTTGTTGATCTAGGTGTGAAACGACATCCAAAAGAAAATCATTTTTCACTCGCCTCCATTTTTTAATAGCCCATTTTTCACTCACAACTTTACCAACAAAAAGCATTTGCATGGATCGATAGCCATTTTACTTCCCACATACCAGCCTTGCATTAAATTTTGCTGTACATTCTTTTTCCAGTCTTTTAGGCCTTATCTAACCATCAATTTTCCACCCTTATCCCTTATTTGGTGAGTAATTTGCATAGACCCGGGAAACAGGTGGGCAGCGGGTCGCTTGCCCCCCCCCCCCCCCCACCTGAGAGCCGAGGGGACGGCGCCCCCTCAACATTGAGGCAGCGAGAAAGGATCTTTCCTCCCTTTTCCGGACTTCCCCTCTTGTTTCCTTTATACATCTAAACATCAACACCCGGCATTTTCCTTGCCATCTGAATGGTTTCTGCTGTTACAGTATCGATTTGACATCTGCCGTTGTCATCCCGCTTTTGTTTGGGCCTGACCTTGGCCATAAGTTTGGCAGGCCAGCTTTTATACTGGACCATTTTGAGTCAACCTGTAGAAATACCTAACGTACAACGTGGTAAAATCATTGCTACAGGTATAACACAGGTTACCCGCTCCGGGTGTAAGGGAGGGGTGTGGGGCAATGAGTGCACTTACGTGGCGTCCTTGGAAGGCCGGTATGGGATTAAAAGCTCAGCGACACTAAGGGCTTGTGGTGTCTTCGGTTATCGTTAGCACCCTCAGAATCACCGGCGTAGGGCCCTCAGAGCCGCCGGTAAGGGGCCTTTAGAGGCACTGGTGTGGGAATGTCATGCAGGTGCCGGTGTGGGCGCTCAGAGGTGCCAGTATGATTCTCTCAGAGGCGCCGGTGAGGGTCCTTACAGGCGTTGCTGTGGGCCCTCATAGACGCTGGTGTGGAGCCGTTACAGACGGGTGTGGGGCCTGAGCTGCTGACGCGAACCCTCTACAAGCCGGCAGGGGGTTCTCAGTGACCGGCAAGAGGCCCTTAGGCCAGCAGAAGAAGTTCTGTGGGGTCCTTAGAGACCGGCATGGTACTTTCATACGCCGGTGGGGCCCTGAGAGTCACCGGACCGGTGTGGGGCCCTCAGAAGTCACCAGTGGGTGGCAGGGGCGTAGGCAGGGGGGGGCCACTGGGCCATGCCCCCCCCCCTTGGGCGCCAAAGGCGCCCTCCAATCGCAAATGCAATTGTGATATAATCGAATCGAAAAACAATCGCGACTGGAGGGCGCCCTCCAATCGCGAATGTGTTTACAGGGAAAATACGGATGGAGGGCGCCCTCGGAGGACGCCCATTCCAAATACGCCCTCCAAATACGGTTGAAGGGCTCCCTCGGGCGCCCTCCAACCACATTTGTAGGCTGTAGCTCTCTAAGCGTAACGGTGGTCGCCTATGTAAGCCGCTGTCCTGTAAATAAGCGCCCTCTCACCCGAAGGCGCCCTCCTGTAGGTCGCCACCCTGCTACACATTGCCGCCCTTCTGCTGATCGGCGTCCTCATAATTATTGGCGCTCTCCTACCTATTGAGCCCTCATGTGAAATTTTGAAGGC